TCTCCTTACCACATGGAACTAGCAAGCGCAACGGCACACTGGATTTGAGAGTAGGCAATGCAAGGGAAACTAAACAGTAGGCAAAGAATGTTGCATAAGAGTTGTGGCCGGTATTACTACTAGTAAGATATATACCTGTGAATGTCCTGGACTTCAACCAGTCAAATCTGTCACTCTTCCATGGTGTGCGGAAAGAGGAAGAACTGACAGAAGTGCCCTCCTCTGGTCTGAGGAGTATAAAATTTACTCTAAGTACCACATGAAAAATAAGCAATGTTATAGGAATTCACAGCAGACACAGATAACCCCAGGTTGAGGTGATTAGGTAATTATTTAAGGGTTCATGGGTTCATGATTTCACAATCAGTTCTAATTATTCAACTCTACATGAGCTCTGAAATAGTCATCCAGTAAATGGAAGCTTTATACTTTTTCTGGAAAGCTGGAATTTGAAATATGGGTAATTTTGATGGAGTGTGTAAAACATGCTAGGCAGAGAACAATAGGGATCAAAAAGGCAGAAAAGCAGAATGATGGAAAGGTGGATTAGGATCACATTCATTAGGCAGAGGTAGGCTAGTGAAGATTCGGGAAGTAACACTCCAAAATATGTTTTAGAAAGAATAATATTGTTGATCTACAAAGGATGAAGCCTGTCAAACTGCTTCTGAACTATGTAACTGTATCTAAACTGCGTTTAATTTGTTTTTTAGGATATTCTTCTCAAGAAGCAGCATGGCAGCCAGCATGTTGCTACTCCCTACTTTTATGCTATGACATACATCATATTGATCAAAGTATTTCTCTTTTGTTGAATGCTTTTTTAACACAATTCTCTTAGCAGCCATAATCTTCGCAGGGCCTGGCATTGTAAAAGAGAATGGAATTTGGAATTAGATGTCCAGCACCAGCTTTACTACCCATTTAGCTATGTGACCTTAAACAAGGTACTTGGTTCCCCTAAGCCTTGATTATAAAATGGGACTGATACTTACCTTGTGAGATTATACAAAATAGCTGCCCCATAAAAACTCGGTGCCATCGAGAGTCAATGCCAACTCATAACCCTATAGGACAGAGCAGAACTGCCCCCATAGAGTTTCCAAGGCTGTATCTTTATGGAAGCAGACATCTTCTCACTGCCTGCCACTGGTGGGTTTGAACCACCAACCTTCCGGTTAGCAGCCGAGAGTACTTTAACCACTGTGCCGCCAGGGCTCCTTTAGCTGCCCCATAGTTTTTATTAACCCATAGTCTTTCCTTCCTGTGTATTATGAGTTCTGAAAACTGTGTATCGGTAACTTAGAAGGATATTAAGTGAACCCTGTTGTTGTTGCTGTGTCCCATCTCACTGATTGCAACTCAGAGTAGAACAGCCCCATAAGGTTTCCTATGCTGTAACCTTTACGGGAGCAGATTGCCAGGTCTTTTCACCAACAGAGTGACTTCTAGGTTCAAACTGCCAACTTTTCTGTTAGTAGTCGAGCACTTAACCATTGCACCACGAGGACTCCTTAAGGTTCACTTTAGTGAACCTTTGTTGTTGTTAGATGCCGTCAAGTTGGTTCCGACTCTATAGTGAACCCTAGAGTGCTTAAAATCTTCTATAAGAATGCAGTCCAGACTAAAACAAGAGTTGGCAAAAGTTGGTTGTCAAGTTGACATTTCTCCTTCTAGGACAGGAGGAGGAATATATGTGGACTCTTACGAATAGGGAAAGATAGGGGCCCACCAGGCAGTATTCTTTCTTCAAAGTCGCTGCTGTAAACAAGGAAGGGGTGTCTCAGCAGTGAATGGTCCACATGCCCTAGTGGAATGTATGCCATGAGTTGCCAATGGCTGCTTTCTTATTAGTACCCTAAGGTCCTAAAAGGAGCCCTGATGGCACAGTGGTTAAAGTGCTCGGCTGCTAACCAAAAGGTAGCAGTTGGAACCCACCAGCCGCTCTGCAGGAGAAAGATGTGGCAGTCTGCGTCCATAAAGATGACAGCCTTGGAAACCCTATGAGACAGTTCTACTCTGTCCTCCAGGGCCACTATGAGTCAGAACCAACTCGTCGCTAACGGGTAGGGTCCTAAGGCCAAACAGCCAAGATCCTCTACCACCACTAGGAGTCCTCAGAGGAACACATTCTGAACAGCAAACCTGTCGGTAAATGCTGTCTTCTCTGTGTTTGGCAGCTGTTGGAGGAAACACCTGCTGAAAGGCCCTTTAGGCTCCAGACCAAAGGCGTGTAGATTCGGTGTCGTCAGGAGGTCATGTTGGAGTTTTAAAACTCTCAGAAGTAGCTCTTTCAAAATCCGTCTTCACATAAGGTGAAGAGTGTTGTGTCAAAGTCATCTTACGACAGTTATTTGTGAAGGTGAATCTTACATAGAAGACTCAAACATAAGCAAATGAGAGGTTACCAGCATGTAATTAAACTAGGTACCAGTTAACGTAGCAAATGGGTGTTTAAATCATTTCTCAATTAGATGCATGTTAACTGGAACCTAACTCTTCATGATTTAATAATCATTTTTTATATCCCACAGGCATTTAGAAGAAACGCATTCACTGTGAACACCAACTTCTGCATCTGCCTGATCATATTTAAAAGAACAGAAGAAATATTTGTAATTAATCTGCCCAGTAAATACCAGATCATAGCACTAGGCAGGTGCATGTCTAGATAAAATTTCTTGCAGCTAATTTAAACTTTCTACACACACCAATAGATAATCACAATGTAAATAATACATTTCTTCTTGACCCTTTAATGTAAGTCAACATGTACAGGAGAATCTTGACTTATATTCTGTAGCACGTATGTTTGTTTATACTTTTAGTGCTTGTGAATCAACTTAATAAAGCATTTATGAAAATGGTGTCGTTGGTAGAGCTATGTGTTTTCCTGAAACTCAGATTAACTCTAATGGTGAGTGGAATTAGGTACTAGGTTTTCCATTTAAAGCCCCAGCTGCTAATTAACTTATAATTCTTTTTTAAAATATTTAGCTTACCCAGTTTATTGTGTACCACTATCTAAGGAATGAGTTTTTATCATATTCTAATTTCTCTAGACCTGTAAAGAAAAAATGTTTACAAAGCTTTAAAATTTCACCTTTTATAAAGTATTAGAATGCATTTTTCAGTAGAAACAACATTTAAATATGAAGTTATTTTTAAACTAAACTACACAGACACTACTGAATTTAAAGAAAGAACTTTCTTATAGAGCAGTACGTGATCCCCTCCAAATTATTTTGAAGCGTTAACTTAAATTTCTGTTTTTCCATGGTGGTCCTTGTGTGTGCTGTCACTCACAAAAAAGGTGGGGAGACACTCTGTGTAGTTCACAGAATGTACCATACTTGATTACATAGTTTGTAAAAAATTCTATACTTTTCTTTGACCATTTCTTTGGGAGGGGGGAGTATGCTATTCCCTCGGTACTTGCCCTAATTTTTGACAAAACTAGTATATGATATTACCATGTCATTTAATTCAGTATAACATGGAAATGAAAATCTGAAACAAAACTTTGAAAATAATTTTGCATTTAGAGAAATTTCAGATTTACCCCTTAAAATGACAACTTGGTTTTTTTAATAAACTATTAACATAAATGACATAGGTATTGAACAGTAACCCAATTAACTATTAAACTTAGTTGCCTTCATTAATGATTTTCTTTGTACCATTTAAATAAGATTTGTTAAGAAAATATGTCTACCAAATATTAAGAATACTTTATGATACAGTCCTTATATTAGAATGTTACCTAAAATATACCAAGAACGATTGTTCTAGCATTAAAAGCTAACCTTAGGATGTCAGCCAACACACATAAAGCAACCTACATTAGTCAGGAAACAAAGGGTTAAGAAGTAGATTGGTTTCATATGTAATCCAAGTTATGTAGGTATGTACTTAATGCTATCAGATAAGTTACTGTATGTTTGACCTCTTGATATACTAAGCTTCTGCCTTTCAGAACAGCTGGGTCTGCTAAGAATCATTTCCCAGTTCTCTTTATTGTGGATCAGATGACTCTCGCTTTATCACCCTTGGAGGCCACATGAAGGACAAAGCAGAAAGATCCACACACAAAACTAATGTTTATATGCGGGGGGTGGGGGTACACTTGGCCCTGATGTTCCAGTGAACATAACAGAAAAGAGACCAATTGAGACTTGAAACCATTTTGTCCCTCCAACTATTATTTAGTTATATCCTATCCATCTCTTACTCTCTTTCCATTGAACAAAGAGGTTCCTTTGACTGTCTTGGCTTTTGTAAATGTTTCACTCACTCAGTTGTGGTTTATCATTTGGACAGAATGCTACATCGGGGATTTTTTTCCCCTCCCTGAGGCCTTAAGGGAAAATGACTTCTATATGCCTCGTATTTGATACATGAACATACACTCTCTTCATTTTAAGAAGGAGACTTAAGTTCTTAGGGAATTAAGAAAACCACTTCTCCAAAACGGTTCCTCCCTCTAAAATAAATTTTAACAGGTATAGTGGTGAAGAAAGTAAGAAATCTTTCTATCTTTAATATTTCTGCATAGCCTAAATATATTAAAGCATCCCTATAATCCAGAGTCGGAATTGTTTTTACAGCAGTGGGTTTGGTTTTTTTTGGTTGTATAATCCCAAGTTTAGCTGGGAGAAATATGCTTTGCCTATTTCTGTGCTCCTAATTCATCACTGGACATTTTTGGTATTTTGGAAATTAATCCCTCAAAGTTCAAAGTTTCTAATAAATATGAGAGAGAGCTGACTTAGATAACTGCAACAATTCTCCAGAGAGGCTACAATGTAACTCAATTAATTAAATCATCTGGAAATTTTATTTATAGGATATACCTATAAGATGCCTTGAATATAGGTACATTCCATTTTACTAAAGTTTATATAATACTTTTATTTTCAAATACTAAATTTCTCTATCCCAATTATATATTATTAGTTATAATTAGTTATAAATATAACTTGGAACTTCCTTATCATTAACCTGATTTAAATCAACATCCTGTGTTAAATGCAAGTATGTTATTACAAAATCTAAGGCTACACCAGCCAGCCAAAATGCTGACATTTGGCTCAGTGATTACAGATGGTGACCATGGACAGCAGTGTTCCTGCTGATTCGGCAGCGAGTCAAGGCTGCTTTTCTGTACTGACCTGCCCTTTAAGTCTTTATGCACATCTGCTTTAAGAAAGAAATACTTCTTGATTTTTGCTTTGTCTAAAGCTACTTCTTTTATCAGGCTTATCTACTTAAAAACACATCCCTTCTTGCACTAGCCTGTGGCTGTCCATGTCTAGAACCAAATTATGTGTGTGTTTTTGTTTGACTTGCATTGTTTTAAAGTATACTGCCACTTAGTATGTTTTAATGGCTGTATGTTGAAAGAAGTGTACGTATTCATTGAAAATATAGGTTTTATTTTTATCACGAGACAAAGGAAAACACATCTTTATATGAGAAGCTACTACATGGATATAATACATTATCCGTACCAACAGAACAGATAGCAAAAATGGACTTCTGCTAATATAGAGTGACACGGTATTAGCAGGGTCAGGCTGACGTGAAGCATGATATGAATCAATGGTTACGGCAGTGGTGATCCTGATGACCTATGTCATAGCAAAAAAGAACAGGATGGGATTGGGATCCTGTACAAGGCAATTTAATTAAAACAATGATCCTTAAAGTTTAGAACTGGTGATCATGAGTAATTAAAAATACTAAATTCAAACTGTTTATATTTAAAATTTAGATTTAAATTCAGGAAAATTCATTTTTCAATTGCATTCAAGCAAATCAGCATCCTTAGATATAAATAAGAACACAGTTTAATCTACCTACCTTGTAAAAAAAATTCAAATTCGTACATATAATAAGGCACGGACAAACTTCAAGCAGTTTAAATTGCCTTTTCACAGTAATTTAAAAGATTATTCCAAATTTAATTCCCTGAGATAACTTAAACAATGAAACTAATTGAACCTGTCCTCAAGCACATATTACTTGCATTCTAAAATATAAGGAAAACTAAATTTGGCTACCAAAATTAGTGATTTCTTTTAAAAAGAAGGGCTAAATTCTCCCATTAAGCTCACTGTATCTGCAGATTTTTTAAGACATAACAATTCATAGAGTATACTTCCTAACTAAACAATGGGATTAAGGACTTTATTATTTTGCCACCTGAACAGCTGTGACTATTAATAAAACTACGATCTGTCATGGACGAGCAATAGTTAGAAAACAAAAGCTTCCATTGGACCTTGGTCTTCATATACATTTATTCTGTGTAGACAACAATTTCACCATTCCATGATTCTCAAAATGGTAATTTCGTGTATACATAAAAAGTTTACAAAACCTCTTAGCACAGTTCACAGTTTCGCATTTTTTGGGGATACAGCTAGTTGATTTTCTTCTGATTTCTTCCATTTCTGAAATCCCACATGATTATAATGTTAAAGTATACCAAAAAGAACAGGAAGTGCAAGCAGGATACAAAACATACCACTACAGAAAATAAGTCCGGTAATTTCTGAGGAGGATCCAGTGTGACAGTCATCAGCGTCAGAAGGACCATAGCAATTACTGATATAAGAAACTATAAGAAGGGGGAAAAAGTACCATTGAGTAGTATAAAGGATAAAATTTAAATGTGCAGGTAACATTGATTTGCAGCTGTACACGAACAGAACTGAAGGTGAGGATTGGGTGCCCAATCTCTTCTACCAGTGGATATGAACCTTGGTAGCACATTAGAATCACCTGGGGCGTTTTAAAAATCTCAATGCCTAGGCCACACTCTAGACCAGTTAAATCACGATTTCTGGGAATAGCATCAGTATTTTTTAAAAACTCGCCAAGTGATTCCCATGTGCTGTTAAAGCCTGTGAACCTCTGTCTTTATGCTACCCAGGCAGTGAAGGAAAGTATCTGGAACAGATGTTACTGTTAGGACTAAATCCACGGCATTCCCCAGGGCCCTGGTCCCTACAGGAAATAAAATTCTGAGCTAATCCTGAGAATCCATCTATGAAAATTTTTTCCATGGCAAGTGGAAAACCGAATTTCATATATAATTATTCACTGAATGCTTTTGATGAGCTAATGCTATACAGTAAAGCACAGTGGGGCATATGACAGAACACATGGTTCTCTGGCCTCCAGAAGTTTCTATTAGTTGGAAGGATGTGCAAATTAGTTAAATAAACACATTTATCATAATTGTGTAGCAGTCAGTTTTCTTCTTCCACCCAGTATGCTGTCCAATAGAACTTTCTGCAGTAAAGGAAATGTTCTATATCTGTGTACTCCAATACAGTACCCACCAACCACATGTGGCTATTGTGCATTTGAAATGTGCCTACTATAACCAAAGACCTGAATTTTTTATTGAATTTTAATGAGTTTAAACTTAAGTTTTCACATGTGCTTAGTGGCCACCATATTGGACAGTTTAGCTCTAGATTCTGAGCTTCTTTAAGACAAGGACCAGCCAGATCTTACTCATTTTCACTATTCTAACACAGCACATACACCGAAGCTGCTTGAGTAAATAATAGAAAGCAAGCAGAGACAGTAGTCATTAACTGTCATGATGTGGGACATAAATGCAACCCTCAAATCAGCTGCAAAACACCTCTTGAAGTTTTAAACAGCAAAATATCACTTTGATAACTATGGCACATCTGACATAAACCATGATCTTTTCAACTGCCTCATATGCATGTGGAAGTTGGACAGTAAAAATGGAAGACAGAAGAACTGATGCGTTCCAACTGTGGTGTTGATGAAGACTACTGAATGTGCCATGGACTGCCAAAAAAACAAATCAATCTTAGAAGAAATACAACCAGAATGTTCCTTAGAAGCGAGGATGGTGACTTGGACTCACTTACTTTGTACAAGTCAACAGGAAAGACTAATCACTAGAGAAGGACATCATATTTGGTAACGTAGAGGGTCAGTAAAAACAAGGGAAACACTCAATGACATGGACTGACACAATAGCTGCAACAATGGATTCAAACATACCAATGATCATGAAGATGGTGAAGGACCCAGGCAACGTTTCATTCTGTTACACATCAGGTCACCATGAGTTGGTGCTGACTCAATGGCAACTAACAACAACAACAAAAGGATGCTTTAATGGCTATATATATATATATCATGAAAGAATCCGTAAGACTGGAATAGAGAGTAATGTAGTCGGCATTCCAGATGGAAGAGTGGGAAGGATGGGAGCCAAAAAGGTTTACGAACAAGTAAAGACTGCCAAGTATCCTCCAAGGAAAAATCCCTGAGGCAACCTCAGTAGGGAGTGAAAATCATCAAAATAAAAGTTTCAAACAACAGCGAAAATTTCTCAAGTGAAATCATCCAAGTAAATGTTTCAAACAAGAAATATGGGGCTGGTTGAAATGTGATGATACCATGATCCTGAATCACTGCTAACAGACATGTGGAAATTTCTCCCATTTTAAACAAAAACCCCATTTGTCTGCTCCTGTTTACAGCAGAGTGTTCCAAAAGAGTTGCCTGTAACTTGCTGTGTCCAATTCTCCCATTCACTAGTGAGCCAGCACCAGTCAGGATTCTACCCCAGCCACCCTATGAAACTGCTTTGGTCAAAGATCTATACTGATCGCTCCACTGTACTAAATCAAAAGGTCAATTCTTGTCTTATGTATCTCTCAGCAGTACTTGAAATACCACATCAGTCCCATCTCTTTGAAACACTTCTTCACTTGATTTCCATGACAACACATCCTCTGCCACCACTAGTCTGTCAGTTTATCATACTGCATGTTGCTTGCATGCTGCTGTGCTGCTGGAAGTTATGTCACCGGTATTTGAAATACCAGGAGGATCACCCATGGTGGACAGGATTCAGTGGAGCTTCCAGATTCAGACTAAGACAGACTAGGAAGAAGGACCTGGTGATCTACTTCTTAGAAAACTGGCCAGCTGAAACCTTATGAATAGCAGCAGAACACTGTCTGATACAGTGCCAGAAGATGAGCCCTCAGGTTGGAAGGCACTTAAAATACGACTTAATACCTCAAAAAAAAACCTGTAAAGAAAACATTTCAATAATCTAACAAATTACTGGCATGCTGAAAAATGTACTATTCCTTAAAAACTGAACAACTTACCAAATGTTGTATAATTCTGGGAAGAAATGTAAAATATGGAAGACATTTTCTAACAGAAATGGAAAAGGATTTCAACTGCAGTTCTTCTTCAGAAGTCTTTTCAAAGATTGAAAAAGAGGTAGCACAAGCTATAAAAAATGCCATTGTTGTCACAACCGAGGGCATTAGGAGTTCATCTTTCAATAAAAGAGGTAGCATACTATAAAGGAAAACAGAAGAAAACATCAAAAGAGAATTCAAAACACAATCACTTTGTAAAAAAGTTTTAAATTAGTTCATAAGAGCTATACTGAAAATATTATATGGAAATTGGTTTGACTCACCTAAATGTTGACACAAGTAAAAACCAAGTCGATATAAAAGGAATTTCATTTAAAACTAAGCAGACTGGTCTAAAATGGTAAAGAAAAAAATATTTTAATATTAAAGAATATAATCTGAATTCCTACTTGAAAAAATATATATAAACACATTTTAAAAAAGAAAGCCAGCAAGGTCTCTACATGGACTACTGATTCATTTTGTTATAACTATCAGTCCAAACTAAATGAGTCTAGACACAGAGAAGGTGGAAATTCCTCAAAATAACTGGAAAACTGTTTCCAGTATGCCATTAGTGGAGCATTTCTTTATCATGCAAACAATAGCTTAAGGAAAGGATCAGATAAACAGATCTGAACATTCAGAGAAAGAAAGGTTTTGTATATATTTTATCCTACTTGACATGAATATGAAGTGAGCTCCAGAGACGTTTGTTTTCAAACTTTTCTTTTTTATCATCCTCCAGGTCACATATTACTCCGCTAAGTTACAAACTAAAGTTGTGACAGGCAGGATCGTCATGCCACTGGAGACAGCACCACAGAGGCAACGAAGAGTTATAAAGGAAAACAAGTTGATAATGGTAGAATAAAAGAAAAGAAGGGGGAAAAATGAGTAAGAGGCTACATGAAAAGGGCAATGGTATAGCAACAGATGGAACCACTGCTCCATCAGGGAGCTGTTAGCGTCAGGGCTCCAAACTCTGTGACCCTCTTGCCACCTCCCCTGGTCCACTACCTTCTGGATTCAACTGTGACAATGCTCAAGGGGAAAGATGGGGGAGTCAGAAGACCTGGGTCCTAGTCCAAGCTTTGCCACTTACTCACTGTGTGACCTTGAGCAGATGATTGATTTAACCTGTTTTCTTATGTATACAAGGAAATAATACCTTAAATTGTTAAGTGGCTGAAAGAACTCTTTTACAAGTATCATATACTGTTTATTTGTTAAGCCTGTCTTTCCTTCTTCAGTTAGAAGGCTTCAGTCACTCACTTATGTTGTTGTTGTTAGGTGCCATGGAGTCAATTCTGACTCATAGGGACTCCATGTGACGGAGCAGAACTTCCTCATAGGGTTTTCTAGGCTGTAATCTTTGCTGAAGCAGACCACCAGGTCTTTCTCCCACAGAGCCGCTGGATGGGTTCAAACAGCCGTCCCTTCGATTTGCAGATGAGCACTTGATTGTTGTGCCATCAGGGCTCCTTCGCTCACTATACATTCTTCATTTTCTCAGTCATTTATCAAATTTATTGAGCACCTCCAATGAGTCAGATACTGTCAGGTCAGGTGCTGCGGATACAAGTGTGCATAAGAACAATGCCTCTGCCCTCACAGTCTAGTAAAAATAATTTCAGTGTGAAAGCACTTTGTGAAATATAAAGACCACAAAACTACAGTGATAGATATCAGACTGCCTAGCCATGGTGCCACATACAAATGGGCAATAAAAGCTTTTTTCTAATGGTACTGGTTATTGAATTATTATTAATTTTTTATCTCATTTTAATAAGCACTCTAAAAAGGTTTGCGCATTGTCCCCCTTTCTTAGAAGGATGACTTTTACCCATGTCAGCAAGCATATGAGAGCTAAGGCCTGGGATTACAAACCAATTGTAAACTATTATGCTAAAAGGCCACCACCCATCTGTCAGTTAGTTGGACCGTGATGCTTTTGCCTCTTGCAGTGATGCTGGAAGCTATGGCACTGGTATTTCAAATATCAGCAGGGTCGCCCATGGTGGACAGGTTTCAGCAGAGCTATAAGACTAAGACTAGGAAGAAAGGCCTGGTGATCTGCTTCTGAAAATCAGCCAATTAAAACCCTATGGATCACAGAATAATGTCTGAGATCGCGACTTGCTTACTTTGGATACATCATCAGGAAGGACACATCGCCAGAGAAGGACATCCGGTTTGGTAAAGTGGAGAGCCAACAAAAGCAAAGGAAACCGTTCACGAGGTGGATGGACAGAATGGCCGCAACCACGGACTCGAACATACCAATGATCATGAAGATGGCACAGGACTGGGCAACATTTCATTCTGTTATACACAGGTTGCCATGAGTTGGAGCCGACTTGACGGCAACTAACAACAACAACATATTAAAAGAAAACACTAGAGGACTTTCAATTTCATTTTAAAATCGAAACGAATTCATGTTAATAGCAAGTACTTAGTAAGTGCCCAATAAATATTATTTTCTCCTTCAGGGTCTTAATTATTTTCCATTTATTCATTCAATAATCATTTTACTGAGCACAAGCATTTATCAGAAACTTATTATGCACAGGCATTGCTCTGAAAGGAATATAAAAATGAATATAACTCAGCCCCTAACCTCAAGGTACTGAAAATGTATAACCAAGCAGTAAAATCCCCAACATCCTTAACTTCTTTTCTGAACACTTCCTTCGCCTTATTCTAAATGATGCCTGGCTCTCTGTCCTGAGGACAATGCTGCCCACCTGCCCTCTCAAGCATCGCCTGTTTTTTATTTTTCCCACCACAACCTTCAAACTACTTGTCCTGGAAGTGGGAGACAACATCATGGCCCTTCATTGCCACCTCCACACCGGTTCTCCCTCTCTCCGCCCTAACAATCCCCAGCTTTGAATCTCATGTCCTCAGACTTTTATCCGCTACTAGTCCCATTATTATCCACCAACTACCGGTGTCACTTACCTCATTACTCAATGATTTCAGCTCCGTCCTGTCACTCTCTAAAACCCTACTCGTCTGAATTCTTGGACTCAATAGATACCTAGATGAACCTCCCAACACCCTGGCCTCTTGTTTGCTGGAACTTCTAGTAATCTCATCTTCAATCCTACCCCTTAAGGTCATACTCTACACTGCAACCACTTGGTAATCACAATTCATGTATTCTACTCTGACCACTGTATCTCCTACCTTTTCAATACTCCAACAATCTTCTGACCCCACCAAGACCTTCAATCTACTGTTCACTGTCCACCTTTCCACTTTTCTTCACCCCTTTGATGTCCTTTTCTCTTCTAACCAAAAAATAAAATAAAAAATCCATTGCCGTCGAGTGGATTATGATGCATAGCGACCCTATAAGGTCACTTCCATGTATTCACTCTTAAGCCCCAAGCAAGGTAGTTATCCTCACTAGACAAAACCGTAAATCTTGAAATACCCAACTCTCTACCTGCACTTGCTTCAACCATACCTGAGCAACTGGCCTGGAGAAAAACATTTAACCACACTGATTGGTCTCCATTTAAATACACGATCATTACATTCAAATGCTCCGCAATTACTATGTATTTCCCTAGTCTGTTCACACTCTGATTCGCCTTAGAAAAATATTTCACACCTTCTCCTCTCTCATACTTCTAATAGCTCCAATCCACTTTTAGCTAATGACCTAGCTTCCCACTTCAATAAGACAACTAAAGCAGTTAAAAGAGAACTTCCACAGGTGCCCACCATCACAGCTACTCCCTCCTCAGTGTCTGTACCCATACAGCCTGCTTCCCTTCTTTTACTAAAGATGAAACAGTTCATGCCTCTGTCCAAAACCAATTCTTCCATTTGTGTTCTAGTTCCTACCCCATCACCCTTACTGAAGGACACTGCTCCAGCAACTCTCACCTCTCTCCTAGATCATCAATTTTCCCTCTCTGCCAACCATTCCCATGCTATTATTTCTTTTATCTTCTATCTCAAAACAAACAACTTCTCTCTCTCTCTCGATATATATATATATATATATATATATAACACAACATTTGCCAATTCAACATTTTCAGGTGTACTATTTAGTGATATCGATTACATTAATCATATTGTGCAACCACCACCCATAATCGTTTTCAAATTTCCCATCACCATAAACAAACACAAAATAAAAACTCCCCCTTTCCCATTCCCTCCCACCCCTGGTAACAATAAGCTTTGGTCTCTATACACTTTCCTATTCTTGTTATTTCATATAAGTGAGATCATACAATATTTGTCTTTTTGTGATTGACTTATTTCACTGGGCATAAGATTTTCAAGGTTCATCCATGTTATAGCATGTATCAGGACTCCATTTCTCCTTATGGTTGAGTAGTACTCCATTACATGTATGTACCACATTTTGTTTATCCATTCATCCACTGATGAACACTTAGGTTGTTTGCACCTTTTGGCTATTATGAATAGTGCTACAATGAACATTGGTGCACATGTGCCTCAAACAAACCTCTTCTGATACTACTTTTCCTACCAGTTAGTGCTCCCCTATTCAGTAAAACTCCTCTTAAAAATTATCTACCTACCTCACAGCATATACAGAATATTAATTCAAGATGGACCAATGATCTAAATATAAAAGCCAAATCCACACTCTTAAAACAAGGTATAAAGGTAAATCTTCATGGTCTTGGATTTGGCAATGGTTTCTTAGATACAACATCAAAGCACATGCAACAAAAGAAAAAAATAGATAAATCAGACTCCATCAAATTTAAAAACGCTTGGGCATCTAAGAACATTGTAAGAAAGTGAAAAGACAAACTACAGAATGAGAGAAAATATTTGCAAATCATGTATCTGATGAGGGTTTAGTATCCAGAATACATAAAGAACTCTTACAGCTCAACAACAAAAAGACAAACAACCCAATTAAAAAATGGGCGAAGGACTTGAATAGACACATCTCCAAAGAAGATATACAAATTGCCAAGCACATAAAATGCTCAACATCATTAGTTAAATTTATTTGTATCATCAATTGTATTTGCATTAGGGAAATGCAAATCAAAATCACAATGAGATACCACTTCACGCCCACTTGGATGGCTATAATCAAAAAAATCAGAAAATAACAAGTGTTGACAAGAATGTGGAGAAACACATAGCTGATGGGAATGTAAAATGGTACAGTTGCTGTAGAAAAGTTTGTTGGTTCCTCAGTAAATTAAACATAGAATTATCATATGACCTAGCAATTCTACTCTTGGGTATATATCCAAGAAAATTGAAAACAAGTGTTCAAACAAAAACTTGTACGTGAATGTTCATAGAAGGACTGTTCACAATAGCCAAAATGTAGAAACAACCCAAATGTTCATCAACTGATGAATGGATAAACAAAATGTGATATATATCCATACAGTGGAAAATTATTCAGCCATAAAAAGGAATAAAGTACTGATACATGCTACAGCATGAACCTTGAAAACATTATTCTACATAAAAGAAGTCAGACACAAAAGGTCATATATTGTATGATTCCATTTATGAAATATCCAGAATAGGCAAATTCATAAAGACAGAAAGTAAATTAATAGCTGCCAGGGGCTGGGAGGGGAGGGGAATGGGGAGTGACTGCTTAATGGGTACAGGGTTTCCTTTCGGTGTGATAAAAATGTTCTGGAACTAGATGGTGGTGATGGTTGTACAACACTGTAAATGTACTATATGTCACTAATGGTAAATTTTATGTTATGTGCATTTTACCACAATTAAAAAAAAACTCAAAAAATATATACATTTTTTTAAAAAAAGAACTATCCATACTTACGTCTCCAATTTTTCTCCTCCCATTATTTCTTAAACCCATTCTAATCAGGCTTTTGCCATTACCACTCTACCAACACTGGCCTTGTCAAGGTCACCAATGACTTCCATATTGCTAAGGCCAATAATCTACTCTCAGCCCTCATTTCATTTGACCTATTAGCAGCATCTGATACAACTGACCACCTTATGTCCTTAAAACATTTTCTTCACTCAGCTTCCAGGACACCAACTCTCCTGGTGTTCATCTTACCTCACTGGTCATTCCTATTTGCCTCTTCTCCCAGACCTCTTAACATTATGTGGCCCAGGACTCAGTCCTTGGTCCTTTATCTATTCACTTCCTTGGTTATCTCATCAAGTCTCGTAACTTTAAATAACATCTATACTGAAGTCTCCACTCAACTTCTCTCTGGAACTCTACTCATATATCCACTCCAGACTCATATATCTTAATGTTGACTCAACATCTCCACTTGGCTGGCTAAAGACATATCCAGCACTGAACTCCTGAACCTCCCACCTTGTCCTAATCCATTGAGGTTTTAGTCCAAAACTCCACTTAATGGAAGTGATATTGCCTTTAATTTGTCATTGGTCATTCTGTACATGTGTCTTCTACAAGAACCTAGCAAACAGGGTGAAGAATGGGAAGGATAAGGTGGTAGTGGTTTGGGATTTATTTAGGGAAGGATTCAAGTATTCCAAGGTGTTTTGGGAAAATATTATTTTACTATCAGGATAATACACTCTCAGCTGTCACCAAATTTCTAAGAAGAGCATATAACTGAAAACCACAAAAAATCTTAAGGCTCCTAAAACAAAGTAGTCTGGTTAGGGATTTCCAACAGAGTCTAATCAAAGGTTACGGCAAAAGAAAGAGAAAGAAGGCAATATATGAAAGACTCTGCAAAGGTTAATGGAGAGAACAAGGCTACTAAATAGATGTGGAAAATGAATGAAATGAAAACGGTAAAGATAAGAAACAGGTTCCATTCTGAGAAGAGCCTCTTTAGAGGAAACGTTTTAAAATCAAATTATATGTATATATATGAAGAAACAGGAAGAAATAAAAAGTAAATCAATTAATCCCTACTTTGAAGTTTAAAATATATTTAATAAAGAAGTAAAATTTATTTATATATTATATATACATAGTAATAAATACATCAAAGATTTTTACTTACAATGATACCAAGAGAATGGACTTTTCATGTACTTGGAAAGAAAATAAAAAGAATGACAGAGCACAGCTGACCTTGAAGGAAAAAAAGGAAAAATGAGATATAATAACTTACAAAATAGAATAGCAATTTAACTGTGAATCTAAAAATCATTTCAAATGAAATTTTAAAGTTTAATGTGGCTTCTATCTAAAAGTAAAATATATATGCAACACTAGCATGTACAATTATTTTATATCAGATTTAATACCATATTTTTACACAAATAACGCACATCTTCTACATTTGTTTGCCAACTGCAGCCTCCCGCCGTGAGGTATTTTCATTTTTAAGTGCCACTATGCCAATCTTTTTTTTTTACATGTTGCTGTAAAAAAAATTAGCAGAGCACGCTTATGAAAATACCTCATGGGAGGAGGGCACAGTTGGCAAACAAACATAGAAGACAAGTGTTATTTGCGTAAAAATACAGTAATGAAAATAATCTTTTAAAAACAATGATTATAAAGCTATGCTTAACTACCTAAAACAAGTTCACTGAGACTCAGTTATTAATAAGCAAAATTACTAAGTATCTCAGACACAACAATCATACCTTCATCTTCCCTTGGAATCCCTGACACTTTAATTAATAAGTATGAAGGTCAAGAAGGTCAAAATCTAAAACTGTCCAAAAAAATATATTTTCATGTTCTTAAAATGTATACTTCAATAAAATATTTTATAAAATTCATCATTTGGTGTTTTAAATGAAAATTACTTAGATCTATTTTCAGAAGTTTATTTTCTGCATATTAGACATATGCCTATATACATCCATCTAGTTGCTCAAGCTAAACCACCTTGTATAATGCTACACATCCAATCCTTCAGCCAACCCTGTCTCTACCATCTCCTAAATAAAATATCCATCCACTTCTCTCCACTTCCTCTGCTGATGGTGGGTGGAGCAAAGGAGCAGTCTTGAGCCACCCACCCCCATCTTTTTCCTGGACTACTACAATAACCTCCTAAGTAATAACACTCTTGCTCCCCTACAGTCAGTCTATTCTCCACACAGACACCATATCAGATCACATAATTTCCCTCTTTAAAGTCCTCCAGCAGTTTCCCATCACCTTAGAATAAAATCTGCAAAGAGCTACATGATCTGGCTCCTGTCTTCCTCCTCCAGTTCACCTCTTACTCTCTCCTGCACTCACTTCATGCCAGCCACTTCATACCTGTTCCTTTATGCCGCCAATGTATTAGATGCGTCCTGCCTTAAGGGCTTTGCATTTGCTTTTATCAAGTCAGAACTCACATCTTGTGGCTGACTCCTTCTGGTTGGTCATTAAGTTCTCAGTTCCAATGTCACTTCCCTAGAAAGGCCTGTCCTGACTCAAACTAAAGTGGTGCCCACCAACCCCATCCCATCAGCTCTCTTTTCACATGACCTTATTTTCTTCATAGCATTCATTACTCCCAGATATTTCCTAACTGATCTATTGTCCATTCCGCCACTAACAGTTAAAGGCCCCAGTTAAGAGAGAAAAGCCATTATCTGTCATTCACTTACATGCCCTGTACCTAGAAGAGTATACCTGCCACATCAGAGGGTATTCTATAAATACTACTGGATAAATACAGACCATTTTGCTTTAGTATTAATATCAATATAACCAACTACCTCAATTGTAGATTGATATTGAGAAATAATTCAACCAAACTTGATTTAAAGGACAATACTTCTAAAATTATAATGTGAAATGTTTTTAAAGTCAGAAGTATACAATAAGAATTCAAAACATGATCAATGAAAATAAAATAACAAAAATAATTTATCCTATGTTAAACAGAGTGATTTGTATTAAACATAGTAAACAAAATAAAATTAGGAAACTAAGAAAAGAAAATATTTTTTCTGGCTACAGCCCTAAAAGTAATCATCTCTAACACTGCGACAGTTATTCAAATTCTGAAATTCTATTCCATTATCTTTGAAATAGACCTTTATTTAGCATGTTATTTCCTACAAAAATAACATAATCATACATATTTCAAAACTTTTACCAGTTAGGCCAATAAAAAACATCAAGGCATTACTAACCACGTTCATCCTGTTCTAAACATCCTACAGAATACTAACAGTGGATGACTTAGCATGCTCAGAGTTCATTCACAGAATGGAAGAACAGAAATCATCAACAAAGGTAATACAGAAAAAGTAAATAACAATAAATGAAAAAGGAACATGAAACTACCCTTTCTGCATGCAGAACTGAGATGCACTTTTTCAATGTTTCACTGTTAGGTTCTGGTTTGTTTTTAGAGCACAATGTCAATACGCGGCAGTCCCAGAATTAGAACCCAAGTTTCTAAAGGGTTGTTTCTAATACTTACTGTTTTCATAAACTAAATTTTCTTGATCTTTTAAAAGACATCCTACCAGAACCTTTCAGACACAGCAAAAGCAGTGCTCAGAGGTCAACTTATAGCAAGAAATGCACACATCCAGAGAGAAGAAAGGGCCAAAATCAAAACATTAACCCTACAACTCGAACAAACAAAGAGAGCAGCAAAAGAAGCCCTCAGGCACCAGAAGAAAGCAAATAGTAGAAATTAGAGCAGAATTAAGTAAAATAGAAAACAGAAAAACAATTGAAAGAGTTAATAAGACCAAAAGCTGGTTCTTTGAAAAGATCAACAAAATCAAAAAACCACTGGCCAAACTGACAGAAGAAAAACAGGAGAGGAAGCAAATAACCCAAATAAGAAATAAGTTGGGCGATATCACAACAGACCCAACTGAAATTAAATGAATCATAACAGAATACTATGAAAAATTATACTAAAAAAAAAAAAAAATGGTACAAATTTGAAAACCTTGAGGAAATGGACAAATTTCCAGAAAGACACTACCTACCTAAACTAACACAAACAGTGGTAGAACAACTAAATAAACCTATAACAAAATAAGAGATTGGAAAGGTAATTTAAAAACTCCCAATAAAATAATGAGAAACTTACCAGAGTAAATCTGAATCCTTTGGGAGAGGGCTGAAGTGTTAATTTTATACATGCAGGAAGCAGGCTCAAAAACGTAAAACAAAAGCTAAAAAAAGTAATAAAAATAAAATAATTGTTCTCTTTGTGGGGGTTTAAATCTAGCTAAATCAAAGAAATATTTTTAGGAGTATAAAGATAATACTATGTATCAAAACATTGATTTTGAATTAAATTTTATTTTAAGACCAAATAACATTTAAATAAAGTCTATACATTGAAATATGTACATACTTTAATATACATATATGTAGTTGATATACTACAGAGCATAACATTGTAGTACTAAATATTGCTTATGTTATTTTAGTATTTCATATCATTTATAGAAAAGGTACAAGATACAACTGAAGATCAATTCTTAAACACTCAAAATACGAGAGCACAGCCAAGTTTAAAGAAACAATGCTATATTTGTTACACAAACATTCATAAACTTTACTCACAAAAGTTGATTATCGGATTTTCAACTTTTCTAAGTCAGACAAAACAAGTTAGAAAGGGAGTGGGAAGCAGCTCAAGCTTGGCCTAGTGACGACTGATGGGCAGGGAGGAAAAAGTAGAGAAAGCACAGACTCAGCAAGCAGAGCAGTCTGCAGCCATTTAGTATCATGGCACACAGCCCTTGAAAAACCTGAAAGTAAGTATTATAACCCAATACAATTTTTCCCACTTGTGTTGGCTTTGTGATGTGTCAACTTGGCTAGGCTGAACTAAAGTCCCCAGAACTCTCTCTAGTATGCTTTCCATTAAGGTGGGCTACAAGGGATATTCTCTAAAAAGAGTTGGAAGGCAGAAGGAGGCAGTATCCATTTTATAGCATACACATACCTTCTTTCAGTTATTCAAACAGTAATCTAGGTGCTACTTTGAAGGAATTTTGCAGATATAATTAAAGTCCCTATTCAGTTGATTTTAAATTAATTAAAAGGGAGATTAGCTTGGGTGGGCCTGACTTAATCAGTTGGGAGTCCTTTAAAAGAGGGCTTAGGCCTTCCCTCAAATCAGATGCTCCAAACAGGAGCTAGTCTGGACTGTTCTCTTTCCCCCCAAGATGTCCCTTCCTGACAGCCTGCCTTGTAGACTTCCGGCTTACTTAGCTACCCGCCACAAATGCATAAACCAATTCCTTGTAATAAATACACACACACACACGTACACATATACATAATCTCCTACTCATTCTCTGGTTGTACCCTAACTGATATACCACTGGAGATCATCACTCTGAAGGCAATGTTAAATCATATTTAATGTACTCTCTGTTTAAGGAGAATAAAATTAGGTAACGTCAGAAAGACTTTCACATAAAACAATTCAAATTAAAAAGTTTTGTTGTATAGAGGGATAGGTTTAAGTTATGTGGAAAATTCACTAATAGAGAACCCTCATTCCTTAATGATGCTAGATAAATATTACCATAATAGCGTTAGAGAGTAAATTATAAAACACTATACACAAACTTTGCGTCTCTTACCTGATTATTACCTGGATGTGACGTGGCAAAATATCCTTAATCTTCAGAAAGACATTGAAGCTGCACCAAATATTGGCTACTTTATCCTTAAAAGAGATTTGTTAATTTTACATTCTGGTATAATTAAAAGCAATATTAAACCCCACCAAGTATACCCCATAATCTCTAAGAAAACAGGCTTTTAAGACGTGTGAAGTTTTTATTTACAATTTCATAACTAAGGTAATTAAACTCTCCAAGGAATAAACATGCATACACAGACACACCTTACAAGCATTTTTCATTTTTTTGCAATGGGAGTTGATCTAAATCACTAGCCAACCATAACCTAGACATTTGCAAGAAATACTTCATATTTTTCAAAGAGCACTATACTATCCCTAAAAACTGCAGTTATTTATCTTCGGAAAATTTTCTAAGAAATCTTTTTTTTCCCCTAATTTGTGGTACATATATTATATTTAACCCATTTTATCACATACCTGAATTTATTTAGTCTACTAGCACCTAGAAATCACAAGAGTTAACTGCTACTAAATGAAGAAATTTAAAGACAATCAGCAGTTGTGCTAGGATCACTTTCAAAATTAAATTTGTAACTACAGCTCTCGTGCTCATGAAACCCATCCTCTATACAGCTGTCTGACTCACAGCTGTGTAGGCATAGCATCAAGAAAGCAACTATCACTGACAACTGTACCGTCCTACTTTCCTATGTCGGATCAAAGAAAATGGTCTTCAGATTTTGTGAACAAGTGAATAGAGGAGACTGGCAACACCATCAACCATGTAAGATACTCATTTTTATAATTATCATGATAATTACCATTTCTGAAATGGAAGGTAAGGCAAATAACCAGGCAGCTTACATGGAGAATTAAACTCTTCTTCATATAGGTGTTAAATGTTATATAAACAGACGAAGCCCTGGCAGTACAGTGGTTAAACACTCGCCTGCTAACCAAAAAAAGGTTGGCAGTTTGAATCCACCAGCCGCTTCATGGGAGAAGGATGTGGCAGTCTGCTTCCGTAACGATTACAGCCTTGGAAACCCTATGGGGCAATTCTACTCTGTCCTAAAGGGTCACTATGAGTCAGAATCAACTCGATGGCAATGAGTTCGTTTTTTTTGGGTTATATAAAGAAGAGGTTAGGAACACAGGTTATGAAGTTCAAATCACAGCTGTCTCACATACTTGTTATGTAGATCTCTGACCTCAGATTTCTTATCTGTAAAGTGGGGACAATAATGTCTACTTCACAAAGCTGTTGTAAGGATCAAATGAAATTACATGTAAAATGTCTGGCACCTAGTAAGTATAAGTTGTGATAATAATGGTGACTACTTATTATTGAAGCCCTGATGGCAGAGTGGTTAAAAGCTTGGCTGCTAACCGAAAGGTCAGCAGTTCGAATCTACCAGTTTCTCCTTGGAAACCCTATGGGGCAGTTCTACTCTGTCCTGTACGGTCGCTATGAGTCGGAATCAATTGGACCACAATGGGTTTGGTTTGGTTTTTACTTATTATTATCAGTATTATCACCATCATCAGCCTCACCAACACACATTACTGTTCCTTCATAACACCAAACTCTTTCTTATCTCTTTCAAAATACTGGTTCCATCCTCTTATTGGTCTAGTAAAAGATATTCTATAGCAATTTATGTATTCAAAAATTAGAAAGATATATATGTTTTTCTAATTCTTTTTAAATGAAGTGTTTATTCAAAAGCAAATTATCTATAAATATGCTGTCTCTAACTTTATTAAAGGACTTTTTTTTCCAGAAAAAATGGTTTGTTTAATTACTAAATCTAATCATTAACTTATTCATGTAATAGAAGTTAAACAAGAGTGATTAAACTAGCATTAAATGAAATAAAGTGAAAGATTCTCATTAAAAATTACTGTGATGAGAGTTATATATCTCATTAGGAATTATGAGATCTTTCTAAAGCAAACATGATTATTAGTTTCACAAATAATTTCCTAAGACTAAAAAGAGAATATAAACCAAAACATGACAGAGTTGTTAACTTTGTAGCTGCAACTTCTCATGCTGTCTTTCATTATAGACCCTATTTCATCAGAAAAATGTATAACTGAATTGTGGATATGATAATGGCATAAATATTATCTATTCAAGTAATGTACTAGAAAATGCCAGCTGAGCTAGGGGTTATACACTGGATTAAATAACTGGCAAGGAAGGACTGCAGGAGCAGAGCAGCTGAAGTTACTATTCCTTGTGTGTCTTCCACATGAGATCCCCAAAGGTCACAGGGAAGATATCACAACAGAAAGGAGAAAGGGCAAAGTTTTTAAACATGCCTCAAATAATCCACGATCAACGGGGAAAAGTCTTCTCAGAACTTGCAGGGTTTGTTCTCTTTCTGCAAAGAATGGCAGCCAGCAGACAATGAAGGAAGCCACAACAGTACAAGCTAGTTTAATTAACAACACAAACCTAGAACAAAAACAAAGGCACACAGTAAGATTGGGAGAGGCTAATAATTCTGAGAAATCAATCCGAGTTTCACTAAATACAATAAATGCAAATGTATAGTAATGATAAATCTATGTTACCAATATAGGTTTAAGATGCGAGTCTACTCAAATCAGAGTAAAGAAATTCACAACTGCTAAGATGTCACTTTTTCAACTCAAAGACTGCTACTGATATCCCAATGAACATTTACTTAGGCGCCATTCCTATGGGAATTAGGGAATACAGCCATAAAGAAAAATGTCAAATTGGAATTTATTTCTAATAACGGTATAATATGTATTCTCTGAAGGGATGAAATCCTACAGCAGTGCTCTAACAAGCTAACCCACATGATCTCCAATAAATGTACATTGATCAAAATCTCTTTCTAGTTGGGAAGATTTAGAAAAAAGAATATAGAACATGACTTAATCTCTCTCTTCCCTCTTACCCTACAGGCAATACATTAGTAAGAAATTACCAAAAGGCAAAGTGAAAGTCTACTGCCAAATAAGTTCTCTTAAGTAATTTTTGTTTCTTAATTCCAATGTTTAAAAACCACTCACCCCTTTCCTTTCAGGCCTTTTTTAAAACACTTGCCAAGTAAAAAGCAAAAGAATGGCAAGGAGTGGTAAAGTTCCATCTGTTTATAATTTATAGCTAAGCAAAATGCCAGTGACCCTAGCAGGTCCCAGTCACAAGATACGCCGAGAATACCCCACAAAGCAAAGCCAAGACTCACAGAATTATATATGTTCTTGTGTCAAGGAAATTAGTTCAATAATTAAAAGAGACAGATCTTGCGTTTTATAGAGCATATCTCTTATGTGATTTTAAAATAATACATACACTATATAGCAATTCACTGAGATGCACATTTTGAGCACTTTTCTGTATGAGTGTTTCATTTCAAAATAAAAATAGTTTTAAAAATCTGGTGAGCAGCTTTTATTTTTTCCTTCTTTTACATCAATGTTCTTGATATTATCTGTGTATTTGATAAGCATAATCAATGATCCCACAAGCCTACAAAGTAGAGGCTATTTGTATCCCTTCTCTTCAAAAAATCAAGGTAAATTGGGAAAACTATAGATTTGAACATCTTTTGCAAGCCCTTTGATAGGTATGTAAATTAATTTAATTACAACTAAAACATATTAGCATCAAAAGGATTTATTAAGCCATCATGTTGCTGGGTATTATGGCTCTTTTTTTCCTTTGGGACAAACAGTAACATTCAGTAAACAAGAACACAAATTGGACAACCAGGTACAAATTTTACAAACTTATCCTCCGAGATCTGTTTGTTTGTTTTTGATTGTTCCTTATTTTAGGTATGAAGAAAATATAATCATAAATCCACATAATAGATTTTAATTATTCAATTAGTTTTAGCTTCTCAAAGCTTCCTGGTTATCACTATCTGTTAGAGAATCATCTTGTTTTAGAACTCAGTAAACTATAAGATTGTTTCTTATAGGTTTTTAGTAACAGATAACATTTAGGACATATGTTATACCTTTTCAGAATGAGAAGGGCATAACTATACTTGGCACTGGTTTTCCAACTTCCCAGAAAGAGCTAATCAGTTACTAACATTTTATTCACAAGCCAAACAAGTGTGAAAAAGCAATTCTACTTTTAATAAATCTGTACTTTACCCTTCAAGTAAAAGCTTGGTAAACAGATTATTTTATATAATTGTGAAAATAATTTATATAAGCAATTACCCTGGTAAATCAAACACTATTGGATGACAACATTATACACGTTTGAGCCTAGATTTCATAATATGCAACTAATGACTTCATTTCTCAACTAGTAAAGGATACTGAAAATGTCCATAGTCGATAAGAATAAGGCCTGGATATAGCAATATGCACAATGCATTAGTAATCTGTAAAGAAAAATATTGTTAAATTAGTAATCCATTACTCAAATTAAACAAGGTAAAGTGTGGTTTCATTTAACAGAGTAGCAAATGTTCCCCCTTTGCTGAGCTGCTGTATCTTCTATTTACCCAAATTTTCCATCTTTTATAAAACAATTCTTCAGGCATTGAACTTTTCATAGAGGTGACATAGGACATTTCATTAAAAAGGAAAAATCACTAAAAGGTATTTGTCAGAGGAAGCACTTTTAGATATACATATCAGAGAAGTTAATCTAATAATTAAACTATCAGCAATGATCAAAAACAGTATTTGGTAATTGTGAATATGAAGATATGTAGTGACTTTACAAAAAATGCTTTCACTTTAGTCATTCCCATAAATCAACTCAAAATTCAAATTTACCAGTTAAGCAATAAACTCAGCATCCTGTGTAACTCAGCAGTACGTAACTTCTAAAATTCAGTACATCTTATTATTACTATGGTAGGGCATTAAGATAATTACTGTAAGATAAGTTGATGTTTTTCAAATAAAAATGAATTAATCGAAGATACACTGTCCCCCATTATTTTATCTATTCCTAAAAGCATGGCTTCCTTAAGATCTATACTTAATAGTCAAGCTAACAGAGAAACCGTTTCAGAGATGAAATGTTAGGTTGCTTTAAAACTTACCTTTCTCTTAGTTGAAGTTTCTTTTAAGCAACAGCAGTACAAAATCAATGCAGGTATGTAAATCAGCAAATCAGCAATAAAAACTGAAAAAACAGCCAAATAGTTTTTAAGTGGGACTCCATCAGGATCTACAATAGCCTACAACTGCCTTCTTCCCTCCAACTATGACTGAGAATTCTATTAACACAAGGTTCCTACCCACCCTGGACAAGCCTGTTTCATTACCAGCGCTTTCGTTCTCTTCATCTCTGCCTACTTTCAATTGATACGGTACTAAGGAGTCTCTTTTCTTAATTTCTCAAACAAATTCACATATTAAATTAATCAGATACAATCCAAAGTGAATTTTCTCTTTGCTCTGACTTGCACTTAAAAATTAAGAATGCTCAAAGCAAGGGCAGACATTTTTTCTCTCAATATTTGCATACTCCAAATTTTCTGATGTAACGAAAACTCAAATGTGGTGATGCACAGGATAATCTTTTTAAAATGTTAAATTAGTATTTATAAACCTTTACTAATTAATGCATATTAATTAATGATTGAGGAGAAAACTAAAATAAGTTTCTAAAAAAGGCAATTCATAATTCTGAATGTTCAGTCCTTTTAGAACACAGAAAAGCAGATACATTAAGCTCTTCAACAGTATAACATAGCTGTCCAAAGAGCCTATTTTTTTCTTAGTGTACTATATTAAATATCATGCCCAGAATAAGGGAAGTGATAAACTTCCTGTGTTAGATGCATGCAATACTATGTTCAGTTCCCGAAGCCACATTTAAGATGACACTGACAACTGGAATATATCCAAAAGAGCAGAGCACAACCAGAGGCTTCCAAACCGCAATCACATTCAACAAACTTATCATCTAAGGAATACTAAAACATCTAGGGTTGCTTAACTTGGACAAGAGATGACTTCAAATGTCTGTACAGTGTTAGATATAGAACTTATTCTATGTGGCCCAAGGGAATTACTGGTAGAAGTTCAATATAAGAAAGAAATTTTTAATGAACAGGGCTCTCTGAAAACAGAATAGGCTGTCTCTAAAGGTTGTGAGTTCCCTGCAAACATAGGTATTGGTTCAGAAGCTGACTGATCACGTGGTGAGTATGCAGTTAGTTCAGAGAGGATTTAAGCATTGGTGGCAGAGGGGGATTCTTTCTTGGGCCTGAGATCAAAGTCTAGTATAGAGAACAAATTCTGACTAAATTTAGATTAAATAAGGCAGAGGCCTGGGCTAGCATTAAAGTCTAAGTTATATAAAGCTTTTAAAGAAATCAAAGCTTATTACTTTCAAGCTCCTAGAACAGCACACAGAAGATGCTCAATAAACATTTGTTGAGTGGATTACCTAATTTAGCAACAATGTACAAGATACAACTGTAAGGTTTACTTTAAGGAAAAGGTGAAAGGTATTTGTAATTAGGATATTACAGCAGTAGCCTAAACAACTAAAGCCTCAATTTATAGTTATCTGATCTCACGTAAGTTACTTACCTCACTTCACTGCTCCTCAGCTTCCTCAGCTTAAAATAAGGATAATAATTGTATTTGCCACATTTGGGGATTCAAAGAATTAAGTAAGATAATCAATGTAAAACACCCAGAATTATTCCTCTCTACTTTTTGTTTTAATAGTTACACGATTTAAAAAGTCAATAAGGATAACAACAGTACCTTTTATTAGTTTGTCCAAAATTTCTAAAAATTCAAATTTTACACTCAATACCTATTGCTCTTTTACCTGTTGTACGCATGAAGAGCTTATGTGCCTGACTCTCATATCCACGTGATGTATGGAGAGCAATCCAGTCTGGATTTATAAACTTTGCCCTGAAACCAAAGCATATATACACATACTTTACTCTTCTATTACTTTCAGAAATAAGGACATCTGAGAACATAGAAATTTGAGAATTAGCTATTACTCTTATAAAGCAATAAAGTCGACACTTAAACTTAGCTCTTCTTATTTAATCATGTGAAACTAACTTAAGCTATCAAACAGGTCTGCCTTGCTCATCTTTCAACAAAACCATAGAACATGGAACTACAAGCCCTGCCTTCACGGTTCTTCCAGTGTAAAAACAACCTGCTGTGTCACATTTCATTTACAAAATAAATTAATTCTTTGTAAAGAACAATATCCTAGTATTGACTAGAGGATCATATTTTATAATTTATAATCTTCAGTTATCATAAGAGTCTGCTACAATAAACAGTTATTAATCATAAATCACTGTATAAAACTAAACAATCATTAAATGTAAATAAAATTTTTAATCATATTACATTATCCTGAACACTGGAAAGTATAACTGTCATGAAGTTTGGGGTCTTATTTTGAATCCATGAAGCTAATTTTTACAAAATATGAAATAGTTAAAGTTGAAATAATAAAATATGTTAGATGAGTTCAGGAAATATACTGTGAAGAAGTTCCTCAGATTTCTCCTGACACACTTCAAGTCTGAGATGGAAAACCACTACACAGTAGAACTGGGTCTCCACCAAAATAAAGTTGCTTATCTTTTATAAACCATTCTATTTCTTTAAAAGTAGGAATTTCGGTCTCCATCTTAAATTACAGAGTGAAACACTACAGTAATTCTAGTTTAGTCAGAATGACATTTGGACCTATATTTTTCCTTTACTTTGGGTCATTCCAGAAAAAAAGTGTTCCAACGCACAACTAATCCATATTAAATATATTTCACAATAGTCCATATATAATTGGTATCATCTCTACCATATTTTTATGCAAATAATGCACGCCTTCTATATTTGTTTGCCAATCATGCCCTTCCCCCATGAGGTATTTTCATAAGTGACTCATGGGGGGAGGGCACAGTTGGCAAACAAACGTAGAAGGTGCGTGTTATCTGTGTAAAAATACAATACTTCAAAACGAAGCTGGATTTTTGCATTTCTTTCTAGCTTATCCTACAAAGAATAGAATGTTTAAACTTTGATAGTTATCTTTCTTACAAACCATAATACAATAATAGCTACAACTGATCTCTATTCAACAAGATCTCACTGTTTCTTAGTATATTTACTAAAGGCACAAATATTTAAAGTTACATTAAGGAAGAAAAACTTACATGTATGCACATAAGAGACTATGATAAGCTGTAAGAGGTGGGTAATCCAGTCCCCAATACTGTAAATTGTTATCACTGGTGTTAAAATACCTGAAAAAGACAAAAGAAAGCACTATTCCATGAACCAATATTCAAGAAATATACTTAAAAGTTTTTGTGAGCTCACAGTTAAAAGTTTTTATTAATTAGTGACTGAATAATTTATCGTTCAAACCAGGACACTCTTCAGAGTGAAAGAGGAAACTATTAATAATAAAGCCAGGACAACAGGCACAAAGCAATACCACCCCAGGCAAACCAGGACATACTGTCAACTTATGATTAGAGACCTAACCAATGACTAACACCTATACAACAAAAAATACAATTTACTTCAGGTAGTCTAACAAATTCATAAGCACAGAAATCACACCTAAAAAAGTAAAAAATCACTATAAAAAATCACATAAAATTTAGTTTATGGAAAGAGAAATGCTTTATGGAACAGGCAGGCTTCTAATAAGACCTTGTTGGAAAACAATTTGACCAACATGTAATGTGAGCTTACTCTATGCAAGATTCTGTGACTTAAGGAAGAAAACCAGATCTATTCTTCAGAAACCATAGAACCAAGAAAAAGTAGAGGGAAATATTCAAAGTGTTGAAGGAAAAAAACCACCAACCTAGAATTCTCTATCCAGTGAAATTATCCTTCAAAAGTGCAAGAGAAATAAAGACTTTCTCAGACACACACAAACTGAGGGAATCTGTCATCAGTAGACCTGCCTTGCAATAAATGCTAAAAGAAGTTCTTCAGAGAGAAGAAATTTATATAGGTCAGAAACTCAGATCTACACAGAGAACCAGTGGGCTGAGGGATTTAAGTGGTAAGAGACCAGACAGAGGAAACACAGCCCATATCAAGGGAACTATAGATGAGAAAGCCCTTATAATAGGAAAACCTCTAAAGGGCCCACAATAGGTGCCCCACAAGAGAGTTAGCTTTGGATACCCGTCACGCCCAGAGGACACCAATCCCAGATAATAACCTCTATGCTCATTATACCTGGGGAGAAGGTAGAGGGAAGAGAGTAGCAAAACAGTTACATTTGAGTAATTCTGTTAGTGTCTTTATTCAAACTCACAGTCCAGAGGAGCCTGAGAAAAGTGGAGTTCCCAAATCCCAAGCCAGAATCTTTTTCACTATGCTAACTGACTAACCAACAAAACCAAACCCACAGCCATCAAGTCTATTCCAGCTCACAGTAAAACTGTCCCATAGGGTTTCCAAGGCTGTAAATCTTTACAGACAGAGACTGCCACATCTTTCTCCCACGGAGCGGCTGGTGGGTTCAAACTGCCAATATTCTGGGTAGCAGCCGAGCACTTAATCACTGCGTCACCAGGACTCCTCATGCTAACTGCCTACGGATCATCAAAACAAAAGCATTTGACACCCCTGAGCCTTAAACATGAAGCCAAGTTGTTCACTGGTCGTCCAATTAGTCTAGAAGAGGGCATGAAGGGCCAGGGTGCTGGTCTGAGCAGTGGTTGGAAGCCTCACACAGGTAGAACTGGGAGCAAAGGGAGGGTCTGGCACTCACAGAGAGAGGAGTAGGAGGAGAGCAGAGGCCTCGAAAGAGGAAGGGAGATGGAAATGGTGGGCTTTCCTACAGTGGTGAACATCGTATGTAGGGGTAGAGGTAGGGGCATCTTCCATTTTAGACCAGAAGGGGGGCAGATGAAGAGACCAGAATTCCAACTCATCTGTGGAACTTTCATCTGGCCCTCTTCCCCCTTCCTTACTCCTTTATCCTTCTTCTTCTCTATCTCTTTTCTTCTCCTCCCCTCCCCACCTCTTATTCTCCTTCTCTCTTAGCTCCTCTTCCTCAGCTAGAATTTTAGTTCATTTAGGGCAGGAAATTTGTCTTAAAATCCTTCCTTAACTCACAGAGTCTAACACAAGAATGGCAAAAAATCACTCATTCTTTGAATATCTGTGGGTTAATTTTTTTTTTTGATACTTTAGATGAAGGTTTACAGAACAGTTTCTCATTAAACAGACAGTACGCATATTATTTTATGACAATGGTTAACAACCTTATGACATGTCAACACTGTCCCTTCTCGACCTTGGGTTCCCTATCAGCAGCTTTCCTGTCCCCTCCTGCCTTCTAGTCCTTCTCCCTGGACTGTTGTGCCCCATTAGTCTTGTTTTGTTTTTATGGGGCTGTCTAATCTTTGGCTGAAGGTGAACCTTGGGAGTAACTTCATTACTGAGCTAAAAGGGTGTCCGGGGGCCATACT